TGTGTGTGTGTGTGTGTGTGTGTGTGTGTACGTAGTATATATATATATATATATATATGTGTGTGTGTATGTGTGTGTGTGTGCGTGTGTGTGTGTGTGTGTATGTATATACATATTTGTTTGTGTATATGTATCAATAAAGCTATTAACATACTGTTAGACGTCTGAGAGTATTAAAAATACTTTATTTTGGTACTGAAATTGACCGTGTGTAATTATGCAGATACAATCAGCATTTATTGCACATAGACTTCCATCATACAATCGCAAGCGTATCTATTCGTTGTTCTTCCAAAATTTTGGTTGTTTCGAGTATGACAAGGAATATGTAATCCGCACAACACACATCAATCTGTAATATTGCACTCGACTTCAGTTTGTACAAACACATTTATGCGTATATACTACTTATTTATCATGAAAACACTCGCAGTATTCGAGCTATATAGCAATATATGAACATATCCCACAAAGTTATTAAGAATCAACCCCAATACCTCGTATTTTCTTTTTAGCTTTCGCCTGCCATCCCGCAATACTTTCAACACATTGAGTCTGTTATACTCTTTCTGGAGAACTTTATCTGGAAGCAGTGAGTATCCAGCGATCATATCATCTGCGTGTATCGTTGGTAGTCCCGGGGGCTCCATGTTTTACTTGTGCTTCCTTGCTCAGGCTCAGGCCACTCTGAAAATTGAGTTTTTATCCGATATATGTGCACATATGGATGTACACAAACGTACATATTATATATTAAATATATGTACATATATATTTATATACCGTACATCATTTTTCTGCTGTTACGTCTATAAAAGCAAAAATACCAGCAGTTATTTACCACTCAATCCTCTGACTCGAACCCAGGGAAGAGTAAAGTTTCCAGATATAGCAGTCAGGGTATTTCCAAATTATTTTTATTTTATTTTAAAAAACTGACATAAACAACTCTGGGCCCCGGCGGGAGAGGGGTGTTGTGTTGGTAGACAGTTCCAGACTTACAGTACATAATTACATAAACATTTACACTCTGAGGTCTATGAGACTGAGTATTTATGTATTTATGTATTTAGTGTTAACTAGTGCTCCAGTTGTTGTTTTTTTTAATTAAAAAATAAATAAATCAATCCCAGGAAGTCCCTGCAGCACAATGCTGTTAGTGATGCCAACGATAACAGATAATAGTGTAGTAAAATAAAAAACAACATTGAAATCCCAATATATAATCACGATTAATTCCCGACGCCCTTTTAAAACAAAACATTTTTAATGAGAGATGGATCTGTGAACGGTTTTTGATGACAACCGCAGAACGTGGTACGACCCACTTGGCACTTGCTCTCGAAAAAAAAATATTACTTAGTAGTGAGTAGAGCTCTGTGATCAACCCCTGCCTGTAGTAGACGGCAAACAATATATATACTGGCGTAATGTATTTAGTATTTCATAGTATTTCAGTGATCATGGCAGCTGTAGAGTAGTATTCAGTCGTCTGCAATAATCTTCCAGCTACTCCCAAGATACGGAACGGACCACGCTATGTTGCGCAAATGCATGGTTTCAGCGACGTTCCGTCCGTCGTTTAGAAGCACGAATATAGTTCATGCAAGGCATATAACAACAAAGCAATCGCTCCCGTCGACTAGATACTCTAGGACAGTTATTACAAGATATTGTTTTATTAATGTAGAACCTAAACAATCATTCTATTGTACTTTTCAAAATAGAATAATATGTGGTATGCCAATGAACAAGGTTAGGCACGCGCAACGGGCATCCTTTTACACAGTGAAGGGACTTGCAACGCCCTATCCCAGCCCGACTGACAATAGTAGGAAAGAAATACATACATATGATCAAGCTCAGCGGATAACACCAGATACCAATAGGTCAGAATTTGATACTAATGTGAATTCCTCGAATAACAATCCTATTTTGGGACAGGGAACTGTGTTCCAGGAAGGTGAACTCGTAGTGTTGACCGAAAAGAATGCGAAAGTCCAGCGCACACGCGGTAAAATTCACTCTATTATGGTGCAACTATTGCCAAAGAAGACATTCCGGTCACACGCCGGACATATACTTTTATCTCATATAATAAATCTACGAGTAGGTAAGACATAAAAATTGGCATATGTATATATATATATAGGTGTGTGTGTGTGTGTGTGTGTATGTGTGTTGCGTGTGTGTGTGTGTGTGTGTAGTATATATAATAATATAATAATATGTGTGTGTGTATTTTNTATATTATTATTATATTATTATATACTATATTTT